TCAATCGAGTCGAATGCGCCTCGGAAATCCAGGGATACTAGAATTGTGGGTCGCTTATACGTATGGCGTTGTTCTAGTACCTGACGCAGTGTGAAGATTTGGTCAACACAACCCCTACCAGGCCGGAATCCCGCTTGCTGCTCTCGAGTCAGCATCTCACGAGCCACCGTAAGGCGACGAAGCACAATTGACGCCAACAGTCTCGTTACAACCGGGGTCAAGCTGATCCCCCTGTGGTTACCACAATAGGTTGTTTACCATAACTAATCGAATTTTCTCCAAGCTCCTCAAGAATTCTCTCCCCACTATTCACTGGAAGTTAGCAACTTTATAGATGCTCTTCTATCAGGGCAAGCAGACCACGCCCTTTTCATAGACATTTTTGTGGACTGTTGCGCGAGAAGGGAGGCTGGAATCCTCTTGGCGCTAGTCATTCTCACTTGAAGAGGCTTCTGACAGACCTTTGACGTCGGCTTTTTCGAGATCGCGGGGAGTTAACTCTTTTCACTGTCTTCAGCTACAAGACGTAAATCGTGCAGGCAGTGCAGAAGGAAGCAACAAATTGGAGCGAACGGATCCAATGATTAATTGACATGCATTGACATATCCTGTAATCCAGGTGTGTTGCTTCTCAGTTCTTACGAGTATGACTCCGCGGGTTGGCAAGTCCCAGTTACTTAGCAGCCAGGGCACGAGGTGACTCAGTGCTTAGAGCGCGAATCTACTGACTAGAAAGTCAGTGTTTCGGACCTGACCTTTGCGTCTCAACCTTCCCTTTCCAGACTTGGGCAACCTGGCAGTATATACTCGTGCCTCGGGCACGAGGTGACTCAGTGCTTAGAGCGCGAATCTACTGACTAGAAAGTCAGTGTTTCGGACCTGACCTTTGCGTCTCAACCTTCCCTTTCCAGACTTGGGCAACCTGGCAGTATATAAGCCCTCGTGCCTCCTTTGGCATGGCAGCTTTGCACCGAACGGGTGTTACGGCTGAACGACCATATTGCTATTTTTATTACATAGCAGCCTTTCGGGTATGCTCACTGCATACTTTTATCTAGTGCTCCAGCAGTTTGACACAAGCTACTGCAAACAAAACGACGCGGTGATCAGGTTCATTGATGCAATGATATTGTGGGCTATTTCGGCTGTTCTATACGCAGTTCCTATAGGTACAACCTTACCAGGAAGGCCAACATGGAACAGCGACTCCCCATAGTATGAGATGCTGTTATAGCAGCCTTTCGGGTATGCTCACTGCATACTTTTATCTAGTGCTCCAGCAGTTTGACACAAGCTACTGCAAACAAAACGACGCGGTGATCAGGTTCATTGATGCAATGATATTGTGGGCTATTTCGGCTGTTCTATACGCAGTTCCTATAGGTACAACCTTACCAGGAAGGCCAACATGGAACAGCGACCGTAGGTAGTATGAGATGCTGTTTCTCTGAAACACGCATACAAGACCCAAGCGTAGATATGCATCTCAAAACGCCAGAGGCTAACTCAGGTCTCTCACATTTCACGCTCCCTGTACCCGATGATCCAGAAGCGAACACTCGTGGGATATATGGCGTAGAAGTCATGCTCAGTCCCGGAGCTGAACGCGCTTCGCTGGATTGGCTCCCGATGAAGAGTCGTCTTTGTACCGTCCGGTTATCCGGCACAGTCAAGCTCAATGCCTGGGCACAATGCAGTAGTCAGTGCCTGTTTGTGGTGTCTGCTCATGCCCCATCTGACTAGAGTTCTGAGAAGCATACTTTCCATCGAGATTTATCCAGGCGCATTCATCAAGCAATAATCACTGGCGTCGTAATCCTTGCGGGCGTTATGAATGCACAAGTCGGTCGTCTGTGCACCCTGGAATCATCATCATCATCATCATTGCCAGCTGAGATAACCGCGTACTCGTGCAGTGGTTGTAGCTGCCGAATTTTCGTTCACCGATGTTTTTTTTTTTTTTGGGGGGGGGGGGGG